ATAAAACTGTAATGTGCAAGCTAAGCAAACCCAGTAGTAGGAGCAGTAGTTGTTTTCACTGATTTGCACCTGCTCTCCTCATTAATAGAGATGCAGATGCAAAATCTGCTGGCTCCCGTCTTCAATTTCTTGATTAAAAACACAAATAAATGCAGAGTGAGCTGAAAGTAACACTTCCTGGTTGTTCTCTGAATGCTGAAAAGAAAAAACAAAAATTTTCTTTTTTTACCTGTTTGGATCCCTAGCTGGCTGGTTCTGGAAGAGGCCGACAGAAAGTCCTGATCCCAGATAGGAGAGTTTTGACTGTAAACTTCTTCTTCTAACATGGACAGAAACCTAGACACAAGAGTAAAAACAATAGTAAAATCAAAAACAAACATACTGCCAGAGGGACCGAAGCTCTAACCCTCTATGGCAATCACCTGGACATCAGCATCGCACAGTCAGCTCAGAGATACGCTAGGAAATTACAACTCAAATGATGATTATTAATTGGACGGTGCCGGCATATTTAAACACCGAAATCCATTTCTACAAATTTATTTTCTTGGACTCTGTGTAGATTCTCAGCAAGGCCTTGGTCCTGCAGGCAGCTGTCGTTATCAGTCAAAACCGTAACAAAAGTTGCTACCATTTATCGAGTGCTTGCTATGTGCCTGCACTGTTCTAACTTCTTGAATCCTCACTGTCTAAAATACTTTACTTTTATTTATCCCACACACACATATAGCTCTTACTCTGACTCACCTAATTCTCATAACCTTACAGATGAAAAAACTTACAGCAGAGGGAGGTTAAATCACTGGTACAAAGTCCCACAACTAGTAAATTCAGGACCAAGAGTGAATCAGTGATTAATTACTAGATTATACTTCCTGTCATGGTATAGACCAGTGGTCGGCAAACTCATTAGTCAACAGAGCCAAATATCAACAGTACAACGATTGAAATTTCTTTTGAGAGCCATATTTTTTAAACTTAAACTATATAGGTAGGTACATTGTTATTAACTTAATTAGGGTACTCCTAAGGCTTAGGAAGAGCCACACTCAAGGGGCCAAAGAGCCGCATGTGACTCAAGAGCCGCAGTTTGCCGACCATGGGAAACATTAGTCAACAGAGCCAAATATCAACAGTACAACGATTGAAATTTCTTTTGAGAGCCATATTTTTTAAACTTAAATTATATAGGTAGGTACATTGTTATTAACTTAATTAGGGTACTCCTAAGGCTTAGGAAGAGCCACACTCAAGGGGCCAAAGAGCCGCATGTGACTCGAGAGCCGCAGTTTGCCGACCACGGGAAACCAAATGGATCTCAAGTTTTGGGGGCCCACAGAAATTACCTGGAGACCTTGTCTGAAACACAGCTACCCAAACCCCACCTAGACTTACTGAATCCGAGACTGTGAGAAGGGGACTCGGGGACGACATTCTGCTTAAGTACCTTAGACAATTCTTATGTACATCAACAGTGAAGAACTGCAGTTAAAATACCAACACAAATCTACACATCTGGTACTGGAACGTCTTCCTGCAGGCCACTTTTAAAGCACATGAATTCTAGTGGAAGAACATAGAACACTGGCTGAGAGCTTGGGTTCCAGACTCCATTTACAAAGCTCACCACTTACTATTTGTAGGATCTTGAAACAAGTTCTTAACTCTCATCTTTCCTAGTTTTCTCTCTTATAAAATGGAAATATCAACAATAATTCCTGCATAGCGTGGTCATGAGGGATAAGCTAATGTTTATGCCTAAAATGGTATCTGACCCCTAGTAAGTGCTCCATTCATTCAACAAATATCGATTGCCCCCCTTCTATGTGACAGGCACTGGGTTAGATGCTGGAAGGACAGGGTGAACGAGACAACCATGTGCCCTCATGAAGTGTAATGGTGTAATTAAGGTTAGCTAGTATAAGCCATCTGTATCCCTCTGCTGAAATTGTAAAATCCAAAAGCCCTTAAAAAAGATTTTCCATGACCCATTTGGCAACAAAATCTGACCTTAACATACGTAAGACTATTTATAGTCTCTATAATTATAAATGATTTAATTTGAGGGAATTAACCTCAGCCCTAGAGCTGTGGCATACAGCACATGTGTTATATTCATTACCTTTATAAAATGTTTAAACTTTTGAATTGTTAAACTTATCTAATACTACGATTTTAGATAACTGATCAAAGACCTGTTCAAGTCATCATCATCATCATCATCATCATCATCATCACTATAACTAAAAGTACCAGTATTCTTCGCATGTACCAATGCCTGCAAGATTTTAGACCGTTTCAGGAGAGAGGGAGGTTGGTTTCTTGGAAGTGAAAACAAGATAGGAAAAGGTCCAGGGGGGAGGGGAAGGGGAGGATGGGAAGGAGTGTCTTCTGACTTGCTGCTCATAGAAGATTTACAAACAAGGCACCATTTGAGTGAATACCTAGCCTCACTCGATGGTGTAATTCGTGAGTCACTCTCCTTGCTAAGCAAGCCACCAGGAAGGCATGTTTTAAAACACTTTAGTATATTTCTTACCAAACACATTAAGACAGACAGCAACAGGAGCTAAATTCCTTACTAAGATCACTTGTGGTCTCCCAGAGGAGAGCAAGTTCCTGATTATTCTCCCCTTTTCCTAAGCAGACCTGCCTTCCCCTTACACAGCCCTCAAGCTTTCCCAACTGCCCTGTCACAGAAGCAAATTTCCTTTTCTTTTCTAGGCTCCTTCTTTGTTCAGTAATTATATGATCAGCACACTCTTCACAAAGCTGGGCACAGACTCACCCCGGAAAAATGCCATTAACTTAGGAAAATAATTATAGGTATGTTACATATGTATATACATGTGTAGTTATTTCATTATAATAAAAAACAGTCTCATATAATGACACAGGCAAGTGCTTGTTTTATAAACACAGGAACACAAAATTGCATGGAGAGTAAAAGAACACAATACATGGAGGATATATAGAAATATCTAAAAGCCCTGAAGATAGGGCTGTGGCTCATGTTTTGCTTCTTAACCAAATTTTCATCAACATCGCTTTTAGAATGAAATATAGATACTAAACCTTTTTGACAACAACCTTGTAAGCAGGTCAATGGGGGGAAAGGCACAAGTTAAAGCCAAGTGGAAGAAAGGGCAGCATATGAAGAGGAGGCAGGCAAGGATGAAGACCCTGAAAAATGCCTCTGAGAACCCCGTGACCGCCCTGGGTGGTGTGGAGGGGCTGCAGCTCTCACTTGGCGACGGTGCCCAAGACTCAACCAGCACCTCAGGCTTCAACATATGTGTGATTCTGCTGCCAAACCTGTAGGTATAAATGCCTAACAGCCTCAAATATTGTCCTAGCCCGTGAATAGAGATTTAAAAGGAGAAGAGGGTGGTAGTTTTACCCTACCATTAGTAAAAGAAAAGAGAAAGCAGCATTGATTAGCTCCATAGCACGAGCATGCCAGAACTATGGGCTGAAGGAACAAAACACCCTATAATTAGCAAATATCTGCAAGAAGCGAAATGCATTTGCTATGGGGGGAAAATTGTTACTAAGCAAGGTAATTAAAATTTCTCTTTAAGCACCATCAAGTGGGGGGAAGCGGGGGAGGCGGTCCTCTTTGTCCCTTGGCTTAGAGACCGAATGACAACTATAATCTGAAGACATAAAATGCTGCTTCTGTGGCAAATGTAACAGACATTGGTAGGACAATTGCTTTAAGCTCTAAGGAGAGGCTCTTAGACTAGTTAAAAGGCAGCCCCTGACAGAGATGAGCATGCCCAGAGTTCATAAACCACTGAGGGGCAACATCCACTGCAGATTAAGTGCTTCTGAATCTTCCCCTCTGGAGGAAGCCAAATTGTTCATGTCATGCCTCATTCTCAGCTGCCGGTTTCCTCAAAAAAAAAAAAAAAGACTGAAAATCAGGATGCTAGGAGCTACTGCGAATATTGGATGTTCAGCAAAATCTCATCAGACTCACCCATGACATCCTTTACCTAGGGCTTAGGAATTGTCTTAAGCAACAAAGGAATTTCCCGGCAATTTCTACCTGAAAACCATTTTTGTTGTTGTGTTGGACCTAACTTATTGTTTAAAATGATCTTTCCTAAGACACAAACTGGGTAATCCAGTAATAGTAACTTAATAATAAAAAAACCCAGTTTCGCAACTTTGGTCAAACTCTACGCCAGCAGTTCTCAAGGAAGGCTCTATCATACCTAGAAAGCCTCTGCACATGATTAACTTCTACCCCTCCCCTCCCTCCAAGCGCTGCTCTAGGCAGACTGACACCCACAGAATGAACCGTCTGCTCCTGTCTTGCTGTCATCGCTCCATGACAAGTCATCCGCTGCACACCCAGCCCTTCTCACCAGCAGCCAGTCTCTGAGCTGAAGTATTTGGTTCTCAGACTGGAAAACGCATTTCCCGGGTCTTTAACACATTGCCTTCGTTTGAAAAAAATATTTAAGTGATTATTCATATGTTGGAGCTCTGGCAGGTGCACAAGAGTATGTATATTCTACGTGACACTGAGCATGGAGGCACAAAGAGGCCCCTCTTTTCCTGTCCAGCTCCACCCTCAGGGTCTAGTTTACAAAGAGCGAGGGGGCAGGCCCACTGACTGCAGCGGAGGCAGGAGGCATTCAGCAGTCTTAGAAAGGGTTGGGGAGCTAGGATGGAAAAACAAAACAAAAACAAAACAGCCGCTTAAGCTCTCTTGCACCACTTCTGAGTAGATGGAAACTGCTTCTACACACTCCCCCCGCCCCCACCCCCCTCTAGCTTCCTGGCAGCTGACTTCACAAAACAAAGTACCACCCCATTCTGTGAAGCTCAGAGACAATGACACCCAGGTGGGATGAGGTGGGGCTAATAAGAGGGCTACGGCTGCAGTCAACACAAACTCAAGCTGGTGATAGATGGACTGTGCCATCCCCAAGAGGACGCGAGGAGGGGGCTGAGGAGAGGGTCCCTTTGTCCCTCCTCCCCGGATGCTTCTCACATCATTCCTGATCTTGTTATTGATGCAGGCTTTGGCAGGCATCTATCAGTTTCAAGCCCCCAGATGACACGAAGACTTGCAAGAGTGCCCCCCCCCTTACTTTGGGAAATGGGTGAGGATTAGAGTTCGTTTCTCAAGTGGCAATTTGTCTTTTTCCTGTCTTGCTTGTTCCAGGAGCTGTCGTCTCATAACGGTGAAGACTGAGCGAAGCAGTGTTCTCCCAAACACCTGGGTGGTTTCATATCGAGGTAGACTGTCACAGAACTGTGGTACGTTGCAATAACACAGCCACCTGTGACGAGAAGAGACAAGCGCCATCAATATCTCTTAACCCCCCAGATCAGCTGAGATATCCAATTATGGTTACTCTCAAACCATTCACCGCAGCAGAAGACACTGGGGTGGCAATGACAAGTAATGCTATCACCACCAGCTAATGAAACTTGCAAATAAGATTAGCTTGCCCTTATACCACCACTTGGGTCCAATTCTATGAAAACTGTTCCATTCTGTAGTACTGTGCAGTGAGCCCTACAGGCAGACAGCCCGGGATCAAATCCCTGCTTTGTCACTTAACTGGTTGCATGACTTTGGAAATTTAATTATGCTCTGAAGTCTCCATTTCCTTACCTGTAAAACGGGGACAACAACCCTACTTCACTGGGTTGTTATGAGCATTATATGAGCTCCTCTATGGAAAGTGCAATTAGAGTTTCTGGCACATAAACAGCAGTTTAGATAAAAGAAATTACAGGGGAAGCTTTTGTGACAGAATCAGATTTCCAACATCTAGTCCTCTGAATAAAATTTAAGGTTTCTTTAAAATGCCTACACAGCATGCAACACACCCCTCTTGAAGCTTTGGTGGGAAGATAAAGATCTTCAAGACTGTTCACAAGTCAAAGTGCAGGAAGTAATAAGCTTTCACCATCTGTTGCTTAGGTACATTTTCAATGACTCAGACTCAAGGTCAAAATCACACTGGAGGAGTGCCCAGGCCCAGAGGGGAACCAGGGGCTTTCTCCTGAGCTGACCACAGTTCTGGGGTTCACTGGCTATGTAGGGCATACCCTGCGGAAAGCACATTCAGCCCAGGGAAGCTATTCAAAATCAACCCTCTTTCTTTGTGGTCTCCCAGAGCTGCAAAATCTCATTCCCAGGACCCAGCAACATGAGTGTACAGTGGGGGTCACAGAGGGCAGGCAGCCCCAGACCAGAGGAGGGTCAGAAACTTCACTGCAGATCCTTAGTCCTTGGCAGCAGATCTCAACATCCTCTTCCAGGGCAGGCCTGCTTTCTAACAATTAAAACCTAGCCACCCTGGGTGTCTTCCTGATCTCCGTTAAAGTGAGGGGAAGACCTCGAATGTGCCCCAGCAGCTCTGGGAAGCTCCCCAGGAACTCTCAGTCCCTTACTAAAGAGTGGAATATTTATTATTCATTTACTTGTGCTTACTGGCTTGCGTTGTGTGATTTTTTTCTTACTCTGTATAGCTTCATATTTCGTGTGTGTGTGTGTGTGTGTGTGTGTGTGGTTTTCATCTTTGGAAAAGAGAACTTTCATTAGTGTTAGCCTGTCTGCTTATATTTAAAATTAACCTTAAAACCCTGCTATCTTTTATAATCTTCACTCAACTTTTCTGTCTTAATAATTTGTACTCAAATGCCATTCTGCAATTACAATACCAAAATGGGGATCTTAAGTGTTGTGTTGCATTTTGTCAAGTCAGAAACAGTGATCTTGGTGGGTGTAGCAGAAAAAAAAACATCTGTCATAAAATCCTAACATGTTATCCAGAACTTACTAGGTCATTTCATCTTCCCAGGGTCGAGGAAGAGAGCACAGATTGTTATTTTCTAGAAACATTTTTCCAATAATAAGTTTCCATTCATGTCCTTGATAATGTTTTACAGACCTCAGTTTATACATTTTTGTTTAATTTTGCTTTGGTTTTACTTCCAAGATGGGTCTGATTTTATAAATCTGGAAAGTGCACAGTATGACAAGACAAAGAGACTGAGTCTGAGTGTGGCGTTCCGGTGCCGTTTTAATAAATGACATGGGCACCGCATGTAGTGAGATGGAAAGGAGAAAATGGGAGTTGGTGTGCCTTGTCTCTGCACACACATTCCTCCAAAGACTTCACCGGAGAAACGATTTTGCCTAAATGACTGCTTTCAGGTCTTCTAAACAGAAGTAAAAGGCGAGTTCATTCATTTTTGCATGCCTAATAGAGATGGCATATGTATGCTATTTACAGATTTTTTTTTTTTACAACATCATGATGATTTGCAACCACCTTGCTTTTTTTAACACATGACTAGACGTGGAGAGTTTGAGGGCAGGAGACTCTACTTACTTGCTGACTGAAAGCCCTAAGGATTTAAGTGGCCTCTCCCAGTTCACCGGAACTCACAGCTGGTTACTATTTGAGTTCAGACTAGAAGCTAGGTCTCCTATTCCCTAGTCCCGTGGTCGGCAAACCGCGGCTCGCGAGCCACATGTAGCTCTTTGGCTCCTTGAGTGTGGCTCTTCCACAAAATACCACGTGCGGGCGTGCACGTACAGCGCAATTGAAACTTCGTGGCCTATGTGCAGAAGTCGGTATTTTGTGGAAGAGCCACACTCAAGGGGCCAAAGAGCCGCATGTGGCTCGCGAGCCACGGTTTGCCGAGCTGCAGTTTGCCGACCACTGCCCTAGTCCACTGTTCTTTCCATGCCTCTTGATAAATACTGTCCTAGACTTACATGCCTAATTATGAATACTCCTTAAGCATGGTGGCTGGCTATGCTTCATAGAGCAACGATTACCTAAAACTGTTTCACAAAATCAACTGAAGTTCTATCTAACTTGCCCTGTAGTCTCACGAAACATCTCCCCCCTTTCAAAAGTTGTGCACAACTCAGAATCTAAGACAAACTGTTTGCCACTTTCCTTTAGCAGATTCTGTTGGTCAGATGTATTTTAATGTATCATATTTTTCTGACACTTGTATTTTCAGTTATTTCTTCTTGGAGTTATATTAGTGTACCATCATGAAATTCAGGGTATTTCAAAATTTTGCCCCAGATTTTTTTTCTAAAACCACAGTGATTTCGGGGGGATATGTATAATGTATATTTGATATGTACCTATATTAATTATTCAATAGACCTTAACATCAATATCAAAGAGTTTCAACACATAATATAGTTTTCTTTTAATCAGAACAGAAAATATAAACCATTTAAGCAGTTCTGTTCAATCTACACATAAATTTCTCCTGGATAAAACATCAAGAGTTAGCTCTGTAATGACCGTAATCATTTTCTGAGCCCAATCTTTTCCACAGAGAATCCTAGTTCACCCCATTTTCATGCTGCTGTGAGCACCAGAAGTTTTCAGCCCCTTTGTTCTAATCGCAGCAATTGCTGTAAATTATATGCTGAGCCAGCGGTACAGGTCCTAAGGCTCGCTTACACATCAAGATAAAGTCTAGTGGTGCCTGCAGCCTGTAATATTACCCATTTTTTTTAGGAGATTGGTATCAGTGAGACACCATGTCGCAGTGGTGTGTGGTTTTTTTCAATTCCCAAGTAGTCGTGACAGTGAGGTTTACTCCGAAGCAATTCTTCTCATCATTTTCGCAGGTTCTCTACTTCCCTTTCTTTGTCAACATGGCGTGATGGTGGGGAAGCGGGGGAGGTGCTGTCTACCTTCATTTCCTTATTTATTATTAACAGAAACTCTTGGTCTACATTCTACCTAGAAATCAGCAGGTTTCAGAACTCATCGGGGCATATTCATTTCAGTCTCTCAGCGGTTTCCCCTTGGTCGCTGATGGACTCCGCTCCTCTGCCTCAGCTGTTGGCTCAGGATGCTGGGCTGGAGAGGCCCCTGCTGCTGCCTTTCTCCTTATCACCTTAGCTTCTAAAGTGATATTCCAACAAGCGCACTCATTCAATTGTACGTGCTCTAGCTTAAGAGGTCCATGTTGGCAGGGCCTGACTGAGTTTTAGGCAACAACACGTGTGGGCGGAAATCGATGACGAGCATCTTCCCAGCACCTGTTCTGAGTGCCAGAAACTACGCACAAACCACCTCATGGGACACGCACAACACGTCTGACACTTGGACAGAGGGAGCAGCTGAAGGTCAAGGAGGTGAAGTGACTGGTCTAGAGCACCCAAAACCAGGAAGAAGTGGAGCCAGGATTCAAACCCATCACTCATTCCAAGCTTAATTTCTATTTGTACTACTCCTTCAGTATTCCTAAATTCTACCCATTTCTTGGTAAATCCTAAGTGCTAACAGTGTTTATATTCTGCTTTCTAAAATACTGTAATATCTCCCATGCTACTTCGCCTTTAATTCTCCTTCTTAATGAAGCAACTTTGTTCAGAGTGGCGAATACTTTCAGGGGTTCGGCGTTGACAAACATTCAGCTTTGTCAATGGCCCACAGATGAGTTTAAAAGATATTTATGTTTTAGAAATTTATTATCTCAGCTCTTATTTTAAACAACAATTACAACAAATAGAGGAATTGTTGTTAATGTAAAATTCCGAAATGGAGGTGCAGATATGAAGATATAATTTAAAAATTGATTTTGATGAAATCTGTAATCCCTCTAAAAGTCAATAATTAGGAGAAAATACTTTATAATTCAAAGTGTATATACTGTAAAAAGGAGGAAGAAAGGGATAAGGCGTATTTATCTTGAAATCAGGCCAGTTATCAGAAAGGAAGGCTTATCTTAAATTATATCCATTCCTGCATGTCATCTGCTATTACAGAAAATAACCTGGGACAAGGGGTCTTTACAGGCTATCAAAAAGCACTCCGTACTTTAAATCAGAAACACATATATGCTCCATAATACCTCCTGAAGCAAGCTTGCTGTGCCTATAAAATCTATGGCAAAAGGTATAAAAAAGGTGAATAGAATGGATAATCCAAATCACCTTCTTACTTTAATGAAAACAAATGTAGGTCATTCTATTTTATATGGCCCATGTTTAAGATTTTTAAAGGCAATTTTATTATTTTGCAGATCATAAGCAATAAAAATAAATTCCCACTTTAGGAAAAAATGTGCAAAAGAATA